TGAGCGTAACGTGGCGGATGGTCCCTCACGGACGGGCTTCTTCTTGGGGCCGTGGAAGGACTTCGATGATGAGACTGGCGACCAGACCGCTGAGCGCCGCCCGGGCGCCCGACGTCCAGCGCGCACTTCGCCACCCAGGGCTGCGGCAGGTGCTGAGGGGGAAGACCTCGTTCCTCGAGATCCCCGCAGTGACGCAGCGGGTCCAGGTCCTCTACCACCCTCACGGCGCCCGCTTCCTCCCGTGGTACACGTGGACGGGGGAGTCGTTCGCGACTGCCGCCGAGCTGGTCGCACCGCTGCTGGTCTTCTTCGGGATCCTCCGCCTGGGCGGGTTCGACTCCGCGACGGGGTTCGTGACGAAGGCCGCCCTTCGCCAACGGCTGCCGCACCTGCGGGCGGGCCCCCGCGCTCGGCCGCGGGCCTCGCAGGCCCCCTCGGGCTGGGGCCGCCCAGTGGCACCGCAGGTGCGGCTCCCGCTGCCGAGCATGGCGCTGCTCGCCGTGGTGTGGCCCCTGATGCAGGACAGGGGGGTCGCGGAGGCGGCCCTCGGGAGGTGGGCGTTCGACGCCTACTTCAGGCCCATGGAGGCCTATCGCCTGGTGGCGCCCAGCCTGGGGGAGCTACGCGCGGTGTCAGCGACGACGGGCGGCCCTGGCAAGACGAGGGGGACCGACGTTGGCATCATCATCGACAACCCGAGCTTGGGGGGTCTCCTCCAGGGCCTGATGTGCCGTCTCGCTCCGAGGGATCCGCCGTGGATCTTCGCGCCCTCCGCGATCCGCCAGGTCTTCCGCGAGGCGCGGGCCAGGCCGCCGCTCATCGCCCAGCACCCGCAGTGCGTGGTGGCGCTGGACAGCGTGGTGGACGGGCGCGAATCGGAGCTCGTCTCGACAAGGGTGACTACGGTAGCGTGCTCGTTGGCGCCTCTGCCAGCCGACCAGCCGGCAGCGAAGCTGCCCAAGCGGGTTCACGCCCCGCAGCCGAGCCGCATTTGGCGCTTCGGCTGAGCAGGCTCTTCTCTCGCGCTGTCTCTGGCAGCCACGCTCTGCCGCGCTTCGTTTTTCTTGTGCGCGGCGCACACTTGAAGCCTATCGATAAGGCGTGTCGCCATCAGGGATTGGGCAGTGTTGTTCTGGACCCGAGTCGGTGCCATACCGACGACCTGGCTGCGCCTGGGGTCTCCCTCGTTGTCCACGGCTGGATTCGCGGCTCCTGCGTCGCGGGGGCGCGGTTTCGGCCTGGGCTTCCCTCCTGGTCTGTGCGCGCCAGGCCCCCCGCCAGGTCGTCGGCTCGGCCCCTCGGGCTCCCTCGCCTTGCTCCCCGTGTGCAGGCTCAGGTCAATGTTGCCAATGAGGATACCCAGCACCTGTTGCGTACGCTTCTCGTGTGTGTGCAGTGCAAAGTGCCGACGATCCTCGAGCACCCTGCCAGCAGCGCGCTGTGGCACCTCCCTTTTGTGCTACGACTGCTCCAGTCGGCCTCGTCGGAGGCAACGTTCGATGCCTGCATGCACGAAGGCCGCGTGCACAGAACGTGGCGCATCGTCGGCTGGCATGTGAACAGTTTGCACAATCTGTCTTTTCAGTGCTCGTGTGCGCGTGTTAGATGTGACAGATCTCGACAGTTTCATCTCGGGTCTCTTGGGTTTCCTCACTTGGACGCGGCCCAGAGGGCCCAAGATCGCAGGACCCCGAAGGCCGTCGCTGTTGAAGGTGTGCACGCCGTGCTGGATAGTGCACGTCGTTTAGCCTCAGTCGCCAGGATCTGTAAAGCTATCGCGTCGGGTTGATGTCCGTTTTGTTGTTGTGGCGGTCTCGGGGGCCAGATTACCAAACTAGCATGTGTGGTACCGTTATGTGCCCAGCATGCTGTGGCCTCGGAGCGCCCCCGGCCCCTTACACAACAAGTAGCGCCTTGCCTGAACCCGCCTCCACATTTAGCTCAGCAGGAGGCGTGTGTGGTCCGCGTGTGTGATCCTCCGCCGTTACCTCGCTCAAGTCTTTCCCTCCCCCCTCTCCCGTCTCTCGCTCTTCTGTACCGTTTTGTGCCCAGCATGCTGTGGCCTCGGAGCGCCCTCGGCCCCTTGAACAAAAAGTAGCGTCTGGCCTGAGCCCGCCCCCACATCATCATCATCATCATCATCATCATCATCACCATCATCATCATCATCATCATCATCATCATCATCATCATCATCATCATCATCATCATCATCATCATCATCATCATCATCATCATCATCATCATCATCATCATCATCATCATCATCATCATCATCATCGTCATCATCATCATCATCATCATCACCACCACCATCATCATCATTATCACCATCATCATCGTCATCGTCATCGTCATTGTCATCATCAGCATCATCATCCGAGAGGTCGAGCTTGACCATTTGTCTATGCCTCGAAGGGCTGAGTGGGTCCAGGAGTCCATCACGGGGTCCCTCTGCTCGTTATTCAAGCGCTTTCAGGCCATCCCCATGATCCCCTCGGACCCCGACCTGTCCCTCCTCCAAAAGCAGATCTACAAGATATTTGAGTTTCGTGATTCCATGAATCGGCCCTAGGTTTCGGTTGCCCTTATCCCCAGGCTTAGGAAGTTTCGGGCCGATATACAGACTTGGCATTCTGACTCCTCCAGTATTTGAAATTGGGCAGGAATTGCTCCCTTTGTTTGTTCTGCATATCTCAGGACCATCTGTAATGGGTGGTGCACCTCTGCCCGATTCGGACAAGGGTGCCAGGTGTGCCGATTTGGATGCCAAGCCATGGGAGGTGACCAGGTCTTGCATTATTTGTCTTACCCGGTTTTGTTGCCTTTGCTGCCCCGTCTCCTCCCTGGCCTTCCCGAAGATTTTTGCGCGTGGTCGCCCGGGGGTAGACTGCTGCTTTGCCTTCGGCCTTCCCTGGGCGGTGCGGCCCTCGGATCTGCCATGCTCGCGCACGACCTTGCAATTTCAGCGTTCAACTTCCTCAGAGCCCACACGAGATGGGGACTTGGGCCTCTCTCGACCCTTCTTTCGGCGAGGGCTAGGGCCATCGCTAAGAAGAGGAGGGCGGTTCGTGCTCTTTTAACTCGTTATGACCACTGAGGAACGAGTGGGCCATCATCATCATCAGCGTCATCTTCATCTTCAGATTCATCTGCATATGCATCTGCAACTTCACCTACATCATCAACAACATCAGCATCACCATCGCCATCACCATCACCATCGCCGTCATCAATATCATCATCATCACCATCGTCATCATCATCATCATCGGCATGATCATCGTCATCATCACCATCGTCGTTATCAACATCATCATCGTCATCATCATCATCATGATCGTCATCCGCATCGTCATCGTCACCGCCAGTGTCATCGTCGTCATCATCACCCATCATCACCGTCATCATTACCATCATCCCTACCATCATCAGCATCATCATCACCATCACCATCGTCACCGTCATCATCATCGTCATCATCATCACCTTCATCATCATCATCATCATCATCACCATCGTCAGTTTCAACATCAGCATCATCCACATTTTCATGGTCGTCGTCTTGGTCTTGCCCGCCATCATTGACATCATTTTCATCACCATCTCCACCACCACCAAAACCACTTGCAGCAACAGCAGCAACAACACTAGCAACATTCCCATCGCCATCAGCATCATCAGCATCACCATCACCACCTCGATTACCACCACCACCATCATCAACATCACCACCCCGACCATCCGTATCATCACCATCATCATTACCATCATGGCCATCATCCTAACCACGATCACCACACCCACAATACGCACCACCATCCACCCATCATCGTCACTGGGCCGCCGCCTTCATCATCACATGGATCTTCATCATGTCCTTCATCCGTATCTTCTGGGGGGGGAAAAGGTTGAGGATGCCGTACGGGGCGTCTGGGTGACCACGCGCGCGAAGCCGCTCAGGAAGGCAGGTACTGTTGAGGGCGGAGGTGGCGCCCGGGCTGGCTGGCCTTGTCCTCCTGCTATTCGTGCCCATCAACAGCATCACCGTCGTCATCATCAACATCACCATCACCATCATCATCATCGTCATCATCATAATTTCCGTCATCATTTCCATCATCATCAGCATCACCACCACCATCCGCAACACCAAAGCTCTGAATCGTCATCATCATCGCCACGGTCATCGCCATTTCCATCACCAACACCTGATTTCATCACTACCACCCACCAGCGCCATTACTTGTCATCATCACCACCGTGCATCAGCGCCCATCATCAGCACCATTGTCAGTCCTCAGCATCGCCATTATCATCGACATCTCATCACACTGAAGAGTGGTAGGGGGTCTCATCCACATCGCCCCGCCCCAGCATGCTTTCCGCCTGTTGGGTGGGTGGGGGGTTTCGAGGGGGCTGTCCCAAGGGGGTCTCGGGCCAAGCGGGTGGGGCAGGCCCCCCTTCCCTTCTTAGGTAAGGGTCGATTATAATGCATCCTGGATGCGCGGGATCTCCACCTGCGTTCCGTTCGCTGTTTGCACACGCGCCCCTCTGGATGTTTGGCTTAAGGCGCAATCGCGTTTTCCGATTTCAATGAGGGAGTCGGAGACCCTCTCGCAGCGCATCGGCGGGCCTTGGCGGCTCGGACTGGCGCGCGGCTTCCAGACCCTAGCAATAACAGCTTGGGGCGCTGGTTGTTGTTTGGCAGCCGTCTTGCGGACACGCGTCCTGGTCACGGGCTGGGTTCCAACCCGAAAGAGCTTCTTTCGCTGGACCCTTTTCCTGGGATGCCTGGAGACGCGCTCGCTCGACCACTCGGCTCGCTGGACCTGCGCCCCGAGAGTGAGTGAGGGAAGGAGTTGGGCGGGTCCAGGACCAGGCTATGCGCTCATGGAAAGGGCGCGGCGCCAGATGCAGCCTCCTCCCCCTCCCCTTCCCCCTCCTCCTCTTCCTCCTCCTCCCCCTCTTCCTCGGCCACTTGGCCCCCCCCCCCGCAGGCCCTGAGCCAGCTCGACAGGCTGTCGGCCAGCGACGCCACCTGCCTGCGCCGCCTCCTCGCCACGGAGGCGCGCGAGGTGGGCGACGGCGAGCCGCTGCGGCGCCCCCGCCGACGGGCGACCGCGGCCGCTCCGGGTCCGACGACGACGACGACGACGACGACGACGACGACGACGACGACGACGACGACCACGACGACGACAACGATGCCGACGACGACGACGACGATCGACCCTCGATACGACGGCGATGTCGATGACGACGGCGACTGTTCGCGACGACGAGCCGTTTGCGTTCGGCCAGCGGCTCCACAAGCGGGCGGCTTGCCTCAGGGTCGCCAGGTCGTGTTTTCTCATGTCAACGTTCCTCGGGCTTTTCTTGATCGTCATTTTCTTCCGTTGGCCTGCCCCACGGTTGCTTGGATTCGTTTCCAAGCAGGGCCAAACCATGCCAAGCAATGCTAAGCGTCGCCACGCAATTCCAAGCAAGGCCAAGCAATGCACAGTGACGCCAAGCAACGCCAAGGAACGCGCAGTGACGCCAAGCAGCGCCAAGCAGTGCCAAGCACTGCGCCCAGGCAGTGGTAACATTTCTCCTTATTGGGGTCGCGACGGGTTCATTTCAGTCGTCCCGCCGTTCCTTCTCCATGCCGGCCCCTTTGGGGGCCCCGTTTTCAAAGGGCCCCAGGGCCATCAGAAGTGGCTCTTGGACGGAGAGCTGCTCTTGGGGAAGCCGTCGGGACCTCGGGCCGCGCAGGGAGAAGGTCTAGGTCTCCTAGACGGGGTCCGAGTAGACGGGCTCGGAGGATCGCGCCACATCGCCGAGATGCATCGGCGATGCAGCTCGATGCGGGGCCCGCTTTTCTCCATGCCGGCGTCTCCCCATGCATCGCCGATGCATGGACGATGCATCCCCGCTGCGAGGCCGCTGCGTCGCCGATGCGGGGCTCACTTCGCTCGGGAGCTCCCGAACGAAGTGAACCTCGCATGTGGCCCCCCATCCAGGGTAGGGGGTCCCCTAGACGGGTGCGCCCTCGGACGTCTGGGTGCGCCATTGCTCACGCAGGCCCTCCGCGGCCTGCGTGCGCCCCAGGAAAACATGGAAAACACGGGACAAGTGGGGGGGAAGACGAGAACCCAGAACATAGGGGAAAATGTGTGGAGTCCTGCTATCTGTGTGTATCTTGTTGGGCCTGTTTTCCACCACCATCACCACCATAAGTTGGGGGGGAGGGGGTCCTCCTCCTCCTCCGCCTCCTCCTCCTCCGTCGCATCCTCGTCCTCCTCCTCGTCCTCACCTCCTCTCCCCCAGCGTAGCCCGCCCCAGGCAGGGCCCCACGGCGTGCCACCTTGGCTCCGCGCCTACTACAGCCTCGGGCGCGCCTAGCTGGGGTCGCTGCCTCGTCCCTGGCCCTCAGGAGTCTCTACCTCCTGGCCCCCTTTGCGGCCTCCCGCCCCCTGGATGATCGCCGACCCCCTCGCTGTCCCAGGTGCCCTGGGCCCCTCCTCCGTGGAGCGACCCGTGCTGCGAGCTCAGCTCAGCCCCAGCCCAGTTCACTACACACTCCCACCTCGCGACTGTCAGTCGCGCCCCCCTCCCCTACCCTCTGGTCACTTCCACGCTACTCTGCGACTGTCAGTCGCTTCTACCCTCCCCCGCCCACTGGGGCTGCGTCCAACCTACCTTGCGACTGTCAGTCGCCCCCCCACCGACTCCCCTCCCCTGCACTCAACGTCGACGTGCAAGACGTACTACTCTGCGGCTGTCTGTCGCTTCTCCCCGGGCCCCTCCCCTCGCTTGCACCTGCTGGCGAGCTCGCAATCACTCTGCTATGCGATTGTCAGTCGCTCCCCACCAACTCCTCTCCCCGGCACTCACCCCCACGTACACGACGGACGCTTCGCAACCGTTCTACTCCGCGACTGTCAGTCGCCTCCCACCGACTCCCACATTCGACCACTTGGCTGTCAGCCGCAGTTTCCCCCCTCCCGCTGCGGCCTGCCTTGCGGCCGCTCGGCCTCGCGAGTTCCCAGCCCGCTGCTCGTTTGCTTGGGCCTCTCGGGACGTCGCGCCCTCAGCGCCATGTCGCCCACCCCGGGCGCCCGCCCGCTGCGGGGCCCCTCAGCCCCCCCGCCGTCTTCTGCGTGAGACCACCGGGATGGCTGGGACCGGGTTGCTGGGGCTGCGCGTGACGCTTCCGCGTGCTCCTGTGCTTCTCGGCGCACCCGCCGCGGGCCATGCCTCGCGGCCACCCGCGCCATTCTGCTGCCGCCGGCACCCACCCACCCCCTGTCGTCGCAGCCGGCGCCGGCGGCACCGCTCGAACGCGCGAGGCCCCTGGGCTCCTTGGCTCCTCGCGCCCCGCCCCCCGTCTGGTTGCCGGGTTGCACTTTTTCTCCTCTTTCGACCACTCTGGTCGTCCGAGGATGGCCCGCTGCCCCACCCGCGCGGGGCCCCCGCGCGCCCGGGCCGCTTCCTGTCCGTGGCCGCCGCACTACCCACTGGGGTCGACGGACGCTCGGTCCTCCCCCACGCCGCTTTCAGGGTCGACCTGCTCCCTTGACTTGGCGCCGCCGCTTCCATGCTGGGCGTGGCCCTCCACGACTCGGCGCCTTGGTTTCGGTGAGGCGTTCGGCGTTGCTACTGCTCCCCCGCCGTGGCCACTTCCGCCACCGCGCGTCCCCCCCTCGTCCGTGCGCCGCCCTCGTGCACGTGAGCTGCCTGGCTCCCCCTGGCGATGCGGATCTTCCGTGGAGCGCCGCCCGTTCGCCCTCGCGGTCTTCGTCTACGCGACCGTGCTCTTCCGCGCGCCCTGTTCGTCGCCAGGTCGGCCTCGCACGTGGTCCTGGAGCTCTTCCGGGCCCTCTTCGCTATCTGAGTGGCTGCGTAGGTCGCACCTGCGCGCTCGTGGCCTAATTTAGACCGTTCAGCTTGTCTGCTGCGACTGTCTGACGGCGCTCGGCTCTTCCGCTGCGTTCGCGATCATAAAGTACCCCACCAGCTCTCAGAAACCCTGCCCATGAGAGTTGGCAGGACAAGAGATACATAGACACGGATCGTGAAACAAAGCGGGCAACCAGGATACACATTTAGATCTATGGGCTCATGGGTATGGTTTTGGAGGGCCTCTTCCGCCCATCCCCGGGGCACGCGGGGGGACGAGGGGAGGATGATGAGGCGGTGGAGTAGGAGGAGGAGGAGGCGCACCGCGTCTTGGGTCGCTCGTGGGCCGCTCCTGGGGCGCTCTCGGGCGCGCTTGTGGCAGTCTTGGGGACTTTATGGAGCCTTCTTGGGGCTCCCTTGGGGCCCTCTTGGGAGCCCTGTGAGGCCTCTTGGGGCCATCTTGTAGACAATCTGTGACAGAGCGGGGGTATCTGGCGCCCCTTCGGTCCCTCTCGGAGCGCTCTTGGGGCCGTCTGGGGGGGGCTCTTGGGCCCCTTTTTGGGATTCTCTTGGGGGAGTTTTGAGGCCCCAGACGCACATCGGAAGCGAAAAGGCGAGATGGCGACAATCACTGATTCCTGCCATCGTTATCGCTGGCTTGGCTTACTGGGGGGGGCCCGAGAGGGTTCCAAAAACACTTGGAACCGTCCTGTGGACCTCGGCGGCCCTCTGTTGGAGATATCTCGGAAGCTGTCGTGCACGAGTCTCGGCTATCCCGAGTCGCCTTGGAGGCCATCTTGGAGCATCGGGGGCCCTCCTGGAGCCATCTTGGGCGAAAAAGGGCCCTTTGCCATATCGCGGCCCATCCGACACCATTTCAAGGAGGGGGGGAGGGTGTCCCTCCCAAAAAGGAAGAGGGCTTTGAACGAGGAAAGATTTGGTTTGACCACCTACGAACGCCCAAAGTGCAGGTGGGATTCCTAGGATCCCCTTCGGAATCACACGACATCCCTGGGGAATTTCCAGGGAGTCTCAGGGCTCCTTCCAGGAATCCTTCAGGAATCCATTTGCCCCCATCAATCCTTCAGGATTCCGTATAAATCCAAAGGCACCCATAGGAGTCCTGCGGTTGCCCAGGCCCCCCCTGAGTTCCCAAGGGATCCCCCGGAATCTTCTCCAGAGCTTCCCAGAGGTTCTTTACACGCACACGCTTCACCAGCGTTTACAGAAACTTCCAACTGGGATATACAGACAACCCGAATCGGGCGACGGAAAAACATTGTGTACTGATTGCGCAGGCATTCGCGCGAAAGCTGCGTTCGCAAAGACGCGCGTCTGCGCCTTCTTCTCCGCGCGATGTGCCACGCTGGGGGCCAGCGTATGCCGCGGCGTAAGGCCGCCATGTCTTCTCGAATGAGACCTTTGTTGTCGTTGCTCAACGTGTCACATGCATACCATGAGGAGCACCCTGGAGGTCTCACGCGGCGCGCGACAGTAGCACCTTCTAGTCAACACGTCCGCTCCGTGAGGTATGGGTCGACGTTCGCGCGGCGATGCCACGACGTGAATCCGACGTAAGTCCGCCGTCAATCCGACGCAATTTCGACGTGATCCGAAGGGAACCCAGCGTACATGCGACGCGGATTCGACGCAATGAGGTCTCACGTTCCCGCATTGTAAGGCGCATGGTAGCACGCCTCCTTGATCGATTGGGCGAACGCCCGCTCTCTGCGTGCGTGGCGGTCTGGTCGGTTCGCGTTCCGGTCCCGCCCTGGCGGGATCACCTCCTCGTCGCGGTCCTCCCTCGCCTCCCTTGTTCACTGCCTCGCCGCTCTGGTTCGCTGCGCAATTCGGAGTGGAGGGCGCCGTCCTCACCCGAAACGGAATCGAATCATGCCTCCACGAGTTTTCTCATGAGTGAGGTCCCCCCCTCTGCCACACAATAAGTACACAGACGCCCTCCAATGGATTGCTCTTGGGCCTCAGGTGGGGCTGGCGTTGTATCAGTCACCACTGGGGGCCAGCGACGTTCCACACTGCCGCTATCCCTGAAGGCACATGCGAAGTTCGTTTGATGGCGTGTTTGTTTTTTATTCTCGTGGCGTATCCCCTTCCCTGGCCAGGTACGGGAGCCTCACGTCCTGCCCAGACACCGGCCTCTGCGACCTGCTCGTGCGCCGCCTCGCGGACATCCTGCGGGCCGCGGGCCCCGGGAGGCTTGTTGGGGCGGCGAGGAGGGGTGGGCTCGCAGAGGAGGAGCGCGTGCTGGCAGGCGGACTTCGCGCCGCCGCGGAGCAGCAGGGGGTGGCCGCGAGTGAGCTGCGCGGGGTCCGCCAGGCGCTCCGTGGGCGCGCCGGCGGCCTGTGCCCAGGGTGGGTCATCGACGCGGCGGCCACCGAAGCCTTCGGAGCGTCCTGGCCGGCGGCGCCGCCGTGCGTCTGGGCGCCGCCTCGGCGGCGCGGTCCTCGCGCGCGGGCGGTTGCCTGCCCATCGGGGCGGCCTCGATGTGGGCAACGCGTCGCCCCTTGCCGGCCATGGGCAAGGAGGAAAGGGGCGAGGAGGAGGAGGACGAAGGGGAGGAGGAGGACGAGGAGGAGGAGGAGGAGGAGGAGGAGGAGGAGGAGGAGCAGGAGGGGGAGGAGGAGGAGGAGGAGGAGGAGGAGTAGGAGGAGGACCCCCCCTCCAACTTATGGTGGTGGTGGTGGTGGACAACACGCCCATCAAAAGAGCCCCCCAGCTGACCTCAACAGGCCCCGCGAGCAGTCTTGGGCGGCCTCGGCACCCTGGAGCCGCCTCTGGCGGCGCCCCTGTGGCGCTCCGCGCCCCAGCGTTGGGGTGATGAGGCTGCCCCTGACTACTCGGGGGGCCGATTCGAGGCTAGCTGGAACTACCTCGGAGGGCCGTGTCTGCGCAGCCCGAGTCCTGGCCAGGATGGGGGCCGAGGAGCTCGGCAAAGGACATCGGTGTATGGACGCCCCGGCTTCCCACAGGCTGGGCATTTGGGGCGTGTGTGAACGGAGCTCCGTGGCCGACAGACGACGCGGTGAATTGCGCATCGAAGCTTTGCGAGGCGCCCACGTGACCTGTGGGTATCGGACATCGGCCGTGCCGGCTGTCGCGGCGGGCGCGCCGACTTGAGGTTCACCGGGTGCGCGCGGGATTGTCGGCTCTGCGGGCGAAGAGTGCGAGGAGGCTCCGAAGAGGGGGCGCGGCGTCGGCGCAAGGCGGGTGGCGCAGCGCCTTCATCGCCCGAAGGATCGGCGGACGAATTCTACGAGCTCGAGGGCGACGGCATCGAAACCATCTGGAACATGGCTTGGCCTCAGGAGGGCGGGCCTGCCACGAGCGGAACTGGAGGTAGTGCCACCGAGACTCGCGAAGCGATCGTGTCGTCAGAGCGATGCCAGGTATGCACAAGCAACTGTCGGATCTCAGCGCGCAATTCCATCTGTTTAGTGTGCAAGCGGGAGGCCCCTGGTGGTGAGACCTCGAAGAAAAAGAGTGATAGAGAGGGGCGAGGCGAAATAGGATGTTTCTTTCTGGATGATTTAGCGAGGCCTGGCCACGCACAGCAGTGGAGGTGAAGGGATGAGGAGGAGAAGGAGGAGAAGGAGGAGCAGCAACAGCAGCCGGAGGAAGGGCAAACAGGGAGGAGAAGGAAGAGGAAGACCATTGCGAACCCAATATTCATCAACGATGTCATAATGCCAGCCAGCGCCAAGCACTCATCGCAATTGCCGCCGCATTGGTTTTGCATGCCACATGGCGGGTGGGTGAGTGAGATAATAGGGCGAGCAGTGGAGTGGACGACTTCAAATCTGGCGGGGGTCAATTGCCCCGATCAGATGTCGCCGCGCAGATTTCGCAACATAGATTACACCACATATTGCTCAGCACATTTTTACCAAGGTGTTAGGGCCCATCCACCCACCCCTGTACCCATTGGCGCGATTGTTGGTGGTTCAATTTACATATGATTCCGCCCCACCCCCTTCTTAATATGAACTCGTACCACCCAAGGCAGTCTTTCATCGCCCCCCTCTCATCTTGCGCAAAGCATACTTACGCGCTCTCGCAAATCGCAGATCATGAATTTCCGTGAATCCCTTGCAGCAAAGTGGACGCATTGCGCGCGCGCGTCGTCGCGCGCGCGAGCCGAAACCCTTCAAACATCATCCTCACAATTTCAAAAGTAAGAACCATGAGCATACATGCAGGGACGATTGTTTCGCAGCGGGGAGTTTCAAAGAAGCCGGCGCTCGATTTCTTGTGATTTCTTGAGAAGCCATTGGCCTGTCAGCCTTTGCCACACATGTTACCAAAGGTGTTTCTCGCACGCGCATGTCGGAATCATTCGAACGCATTTGCGCGCGTGTTGTCGCAAGACTCCTGTGCAACTGATGCTGCGAAGTGCGCGCACGCGTCGTCGCTCGCACGTGCTGGACTCTTTCCAAGATTTAGTTTGCGCAAGGATTTTGAACTCGAGGGCACCGGCAATATTTACCCTCCAAAAGACAATTATTTACGCTTCGCGTATCCCCACCAGCCCATCTCACAACAGCAACTCTTGCGAAGCGTGCCGACAGTGGTGTTTTTCAGGCGTGTGTCCGCTTGGCCCCGCATATCTCCCCTGTTCCTCTTTGTGGGGGGAGCGGGAGAAGGACGAGGCGAAGGAGGAGGGAGAGAAAGCGCTCCTCGTGGTTTGAGTCGTTTGGGGTTTCTCGTCCTGGTCTGAGTCGTTCGGTCCGTTTTCCTGGTGTGAGTCGTTCGGGCTCTTCGTTGTGTGAGTCGTTCGGGCTCTTCGTCCTGGTGTGAGTCGTTCGGGCGCTCGTGGTGTGAGTTGTTCGGGCCCGTCGCCCTGGTGTGAGTCGTTCGGGCTCCCCCTCCTGGTGTGACTCGTTTGGGCTCCTCGTGGTGTGAGTCGTTCGGGGCCCGCGTCGTGGTGTGAGTCCTTCGGGTTTCTCGTGGTGTGAGTCGTTCGGGCGCATCGTCTTGGTGTGAGTCGTTCGGGCCCCTTCTTGTGGTGTGAGTCGTTCGGCCTCTTCGTGGCGTGAGTCGTTTGGGCCCCTCGTCCTGATGTGAGTCGTTCGGGCTCCTCGTGGGGCCCCTTGGGGGCCTCTTGGAGCCTCGTGTGGCCTCTGTTGGAGGCCTCTTGGGGGCCCCCTGGGGGCCTCTTGGGGGCCTCTTGGGGCGTCGTGGTCTTCTTGGGGACCTCTGGACCTCTTGGGGGCCTCTTGGGGGCCTCTTGGGGCCTCGTGGGGCCTCTTGGGGACCTCTTGGGGTCCTCTTGGGAGCCTCTTCGGGCCGCTTGGCGGCGTCTGTGGGGCCTCTTGGAGGCCTCTTGGGAGCCTCTGGGGGGCCTTTTGGGGCCATCTTGGGGCCTCTTGCGACCTCCGCAGAAGCGCGAAGGAGAGCTGCCCCCGGAGAAGGACAAAATGAGCCCCAAACCCTAGTAAAATCAATGAGTGGAGTAGGAGGAAGAGCAGCAGTGGTACGATGGGTAGTAGCAGCAGTAGTTGTAGTAGACTTCGTAGTAGCAGTAGAAGTAGTAGTGGGAGTAGTAATAGTAGGAGTCGTCGTAGTAGTCGTAGTAGTCGTTGTAGTAAATGACTGAGGGCGGTCGTCGTCGAAACCAGCGATCTTTCCCGACCAGCGTTGTTGTCGTTGCCAGTCTGGCTTCTAGTATCGGAGTGTGGCTGTGAGCTTCGCTCCGCCTGCCCGTAACGCATGCGCCTACTGTGTTTTTTGGCACGAGGTGGCTTGTGTGCGCAAATGCCGCACGTAGCCCAGCATCGCTACGAGATCTCCCTTTTTGCTCTCATGTGAGTCATATTCATCTCCATCCGCCCCGCGTTCGTGTCAGCAGGTCGTCGTGGCGGTTAGCGCTCGGTGACATGCATGCACGGCGGTCAGCGCGAGATGTCTCGGAGACGCGCCACTTTCGAGATTGTATCCGCAGGATCCATCGTCATTGCGACATCAGGTCATGGATTCCCTTTCCCACCTATACACGCATGTATTGAATGCAGACGCACGCATACATCAGAGGCGGTCCGAAACACATCAAGAATGCACAGAAAGACATGCACAGAAGTTCAAGGTTGTCCTCTGCCTCTTCCCCAGAGAGTAAGAGTGGTGCGCCAGTTTTCTTGCGGATGTTGAGTAGGCACATGTGGAGGTCTAGGAGTCGTCGTCCCAAGTGTCGTTTGGCGCGCTCGTGTGCGGGTGACGCGTGGAGCGTTGCGCAACGTGTGGGCTGAAGTGGTTCGCTTTGCCTTCTGGAAAGACGGGACGGAGTCGATTTAGGTAGAACGCTCTTCGTAGTCGTGCAAGAGTACAGTGTGCTGAGAGGTCTTGCAGGTATGTAAGAGCTCGAGACTCTCAACATGACTCTCGGCGTCTCTCGTGATAGTCCATGTAGTGGATCGAAGTCTATCGTGCCTCCGGGTGTCCAGGGGCCGAGGTTCTAGTTCTCTGGTGTTGCAGGTGTTCCGATTGTCAGGTAGAGTATTATGCACGGTTGTCCTTGGTGCAGTTCCAGGTAACTTCCAAGGTTCCCACAGGGTGAGTCGATCGGGTTTCTCGCGGCGTGAGCAGTTCGGGCTACTGGGGCTAGTAGGAGTCGGTCGAGCCTTTCTGTCTGTGTGAGACGTTCGGGATCTTCCTGCAAAGAGTCGTGATCTCTGGTAGAATTGACATTGGTCGTTCCGCTCTTCGTCTTCTTCCTCCTTTTCCTTCTCGGATTTCTTGTCGTGCGGTCACGCAGGTTTTCACCCTCGTGGTTCGGGGCATTGCCGAAGGCTAAGGAGCGCCCAGGAGTGGCCCAGCGTTGCCGTCGCTGTTGCCATTTTGGCTTACAGCATTGCGGTTCGGCTGTGAGCGTAGCTCCGCCCATGAGCACAAGCCTCTTTCTCCAGGTGTCCTTGCTGTCGGCATGGAGAGGTGCTGGCACGCCCTGCTACTTTGGCTTGCATAAGGGGCTCCTTGGAGCGAAGAGGGCGAGGAGTCGGTGTTCATGGCTCCTTTTTGTTGCCGGTTTCGATAGTCGCCGTACTGCCGTCGCCCAGCATGCATGGCGGAGTGTTTGCCGCCTGAGCTAGCTCTGCACCTCAACCGGAACGCCGTCAGAGCACTAGTGTCCGCGAAGCAGGCTGTCGCGGTCAAATTCGCTCACATGACGAAGAAGCCGATGCAGTATGGCAGCGGTGACCCAATTGCATGGGGAAGCTCGTCGCTCAGGCCGGGGCGAGTTTGTATTTCCATGTGTGCAGCATGAACCCGTTGACCGACCAGGGCGCCCGTTGGCGCGTAGACTTCGTCGGCGACGTTGCAACTGTGAAGCATTGCATGGCGGGGATGATGGGTACGCCGAAGTGTCGAACATGGGCATCCAGGGCAATGCGCGTAGCGCAGGTTTTTGAGACCCTCTCATTGCTCACCCTCACGTGGGCCCATTAGTTGGAAACAGCTTATCGGAGCGGAGCGCTCTATGTCGGCACGGCAGCGCCGAGAAATGAGTATGCTATTCGCATCAGGCGCAGTGGGCCATGAGCAGTCCTTCCTCGTCGGCGGCATCGTACTTACCCGCGCGAGCTTGCACTGAAGGAGTTGGTGTATTTGGCTGTGCCGATGGCGCATCTCTCGTGCAACAATTCGGCAGGTTTGTTTGGTACTCTGCGTGGGTGCATTGGGTGGGGTGGAGACAACGATGACGACGACTACAACGTGAACGTGAATGGCGATGCTTCCGACGCCAACGCCATTTCGACGACAGGTGGAGCACTCCTGGTAGCGCTTTCATTCTGGAGAGCGAGCGGAACGCTCGCGGCCCTCCTTTTTGTGTCTCGATGCGGCAGGGTTGCTGAGGCAGGTGAGATCGGCCATGACCCGTGCGAGCTCGCCGCTGTCTCTCAGGATGATGTTTCATTCCTGGCTCCCTTGGCCTCGCCGTCGTGTCAGCCCCGTTGTTGCGTCGACCGTCCGAGGACATGCGAGCGCGGTTGTCGCCGCGGAAGGTTTTGGGGGCGCGTCACCGACGAGCCTTTTTATGCATCTTCTCGCCCTCTTGCCCAATACATGCGCGCACGTGCATGGAAAACGAACGCGCAGAACAGTCCAGTCATCCCCAATAGTAACGCA